AAATTTTTGTATTCCCACACGACCCTTGACATATTTTAAGCCTATTGTGTTGAGTATCTATAAATCAAAGTTTGAAATGCATCATGCTTTTCGTTGCTTATGCCAAAATTTTAACAAACACTATGATTGCCTCGACACATCTGAATCGCTACTTATATTTATAATTCACAAAACTTTGCTTAAACAGTTAACTAATCAGAGTAATTTTTTCAACTGGGGACGGACAAACTTCACAATATCTTTAACTGATTAGTACTTACTTATTTGATGCAATTATAATGGTTCCAGACTGCTGCTGCTCTTCCACTGGAACTAGCACACGTAAGAAAATACGAGCATAGAACGGAAACCCAGCCTTTTTGGCCATAATCAACCGCTCGTTAGCATTGCGGTATTTCCGCCCGCTGCATACAAAGGTAGACTGATATGTTATAAATATGTTAATGTACCTTTTTTCAGTGGTCTGTAAGAAAAATCTTCCTGTAGCCTAAATAAATAAATATGTACATATACGTTAATTAATAAAGGATTTTCCAGCAGTTATTTTAAATTTGAAAAATTTTATTTGAATTGCTCCAAAATCTTGAAAGTAAAATAATAGAAAAACCTCCTTTCCGATACAAGAAAAGTTTCGAGGTAGATACAAAAAATTTAAGAAAGGCCAGGCCTATTCAAGATCAAACCCACGAAATTTTGTATTCACATATTCTTTAAACATCAAGAGTGGTCAGAAGTTACCACACTTCACCAGTTGTTAAACACAAAAATTAAATACTTAAAAGTTTAGAGTCTTCGTACTTAATATTTTGGAAAACCAATAGATTTTAAAAATTATAGTCATTAGTGATTATAGACCTCTTCCCCTAGTTATGCATTCACATATGTACATACATTTTGACATAATAATATTCATACTTAAACAAATTCTTTAGCACTTTGGAATAGCGGATTTTTGGCAGCTAAAATATTAAGGGTATTCAGACTATACTCGTTAAGGTCTTAATTCGGTATTCGGTAACTCCCACCATTGTTTTTTTTTTG